AACCCTCTCATCCCCACAGACCTGGCTTCAAACTGGGGAGCAGCGTGAAATGATCAGCAGTTGCGGAAGACCTGGGTAGAAACTATGGATGGGGTTGTTTGAAGCTAGACTCTGCAGGGTGGTGCTGTCCTATTGATTAAACTCCTGGGACAGCTGCCAGTTGCCTCTAGGATTGAATCAATACCGTTTGCAAAAGTAAAAGCTTCTTGGTGGAGACATAAAATATTTGAGTTTATTTTTTAATGACAAAACTTACAGATGGATCTTCGCTGAGACAACTCTCTCTGCTGCGTGCCAAGGGGATAGGGGGAACAGGGTGGGGAGGGGGCGCCCAAAGCTGTCACCCATGGAACCCCAAAAGGCCTCAAAGAGTTAATTATCCTGACTTTGGAGCCGAAGAACAGCTGGGGAAAAGGAATTCAGAGTCACAAGTGGGGAAGGGGTGGGAGTTTCCAGCAGTGATTTTCAATGAGGCGGAGGTAGAATGATATGTGGGGAGGAGAGGGGGGGCTGTTCGCTCTGGTGCTCACAGTGCGGGAGTGCGTTGCGGAGATACAAAATTTGTATCCCGCATCTAATCCGTGATCTGCAAACATGCTTTGTGGATATAAAGTGGATAGCTGCAGATTTGCAGGGCTCTAGAGATGGGTTGGCAGGACAGGGAGGAGGCTGGTGCTGGGTGAGTGGAGAGTGATGGGAAAGGAGGAGAGAGATGCTGTTCCAAATGGCTGGAGCTGCGGAGAAGAAGGTTCCTGCACCAGCAGTGTGGAGTTTGGCTGGAAGGACCCAGCAAAGGGCAGGTACCTGAAGAGGAGGATGGAGAGACTCAAGGTCAGGTGGATGGAGTAAGACCATAGGGTGTGGACTACAACCTTGGTGCTGAAATGAACTGGGACCTGTGGAGCCTCAGAAGGGCTGTATGCTAGGCTGACGCAGGGCGTGAGGCTGGAAGGCTGGGGGTCAGGGAGGCTGGAGAGCAGGGAGCTCAGTCCCAGTGCTTGGGGCGGTGGCAATGGGCACAGGGGGAGCAAGGACCCCAGGAGACATTGTGCAGTTACCAAGCCACGGGGCAATATTCAGCCCTCAGCAGTAGGGCTGGCAACTCTGGAACCTAACAGCACAGTTTGGTGGAAGGGAGGCTGTGGCAGGCAGGGGCTCTCTGACCTGGGAGGCGAAGCCAGGGATGAAGTTCTGTTTTTCTCCTGATGTTGTAAATTTCTCCCTCTGCCCTCAGAATTAAGACCTTCAGGGTATGTCTATACTGTAATTAGCCACCCACGGCTGGCCCATTTCAGCTGACTCGGGCTCAGGGGCTGTTTAATTGCAGTGTAGATGTTCGGGCTTGGCCTGAAGCCCGGGCTCTAGGACCCAGCAAGGTGGGAGCCTGGCCTGAAAACACATCCAAAGCAAAGCAGAACTCTCCCTTGCAGGGTCACAGGGCCAAGCCGAGCAGAGCAGCTCAGTGAGGAGCTAGCCCTGGTGCTGAAATAGGTTCCTGCACAGAGGAGCTGCCCTCGCTGAATACTGTTACACTGCAGTTTCTCAGGCCGCTCTGCCTGTGGGAACGTTGGCTGCTTGCTCTGTGTTTTCTGTTACAGTTTGGTTTGTGTGTAACATCTCAGCTCTATATTGTCGCAGCAAAAGGAAGTGATTTTCCCAAGTCAGGATAACAGCAAGGAGTCCTGGTTCCAAGTTCCCTGCTCTAACCACGAGAGCCCACTTCGCTCCCAGCTGGGAATGCAGCCCAGGAGTCTTTGCTTCCAGATCCCTGCTCTAACCACTAGTCAAGTGGTTCTCTACTTTTTATATACAGTGGCTCTGTGTTTCAAGAGAAAAAGATTTCAGGGCTCTCCCCTGCAATCCTCTCTCCTAGCCAAAAAGACAGGGAGGATGGTCATGACCCCTCTGAACCTATTAGCAACCACCTGGCTGAAAACCCTAGACCTTGCTGCTGTCTTAACAAGCCACTTGCTGTGCTTGTCAGCTGTTGTACTCCTCATGTCTTCCAGTTAATGTGTCAAATACAATTCAGCGGCTTCATACAGCAGTTTCATTTCTTTTAAAGGCTAAGCTGCTTTGATTTTTTTAATTAAAAATAGAAAAGGAGCTTTGTTTGTGTGTGAGTGTGAGTGAGTGAGTGAGAAGACCTGTTCCCCTCACCCATGGGGTGCAACTGGGGTGAATATGTTTTTAAAAATGTATGTGTTTGATATCTGGCTAATGCAGACTTTTAAAAATATGTTGCAGGGGTGACTAGAAGTAACCCCAGAGAGCAATCAGAGCCAATACATGTTGCATGTGGCGCAGTCACGTAGAGTGGTGTTGTCACGTGATTAGAATAGGGAGGCAGGACTGCTGGGTTCTAGTCCCAGCTTTAGGAGAGGAGGAGTTTATGAAAGGGGCTGACCAAAACAATCCCTCCAGGAAATGCTACTTAGAGAGGGAAAGCTTATGGGACTTAACAACTGAGAGGACTTGCAAAGTGCGGCCTGGGATAGTTTGTGCCCTAAGTGATGTCTAATGGCACAGGAAGGATTCATTTTGGGGAGTGGGATCTAGTGGTTAGGGTGGGGGGAGGGGGCTGGGAGTCAGGACTCCTGGGTTCTACCGCGGGATCTGGAAGGGAGTGGGTTCTCCTGGCTAGAGCAGAGGAGACTGGGACTCAGGAGTCTGGGGTTCTCTTCCTGGTTCTGCCACGTAGGCAGATCACATCCTTCTCTGTACAATGGTGATAACAACACCAACCCCCCTCTGGAAGGGTTTAGTTAATTCCTAGCTCAGTAAGGTGCATTACTAGACCATTGTGGGATTAACTTTGGTTGTTACTAGCATTCTTCCCACATACCTATCCCCCAGCACCCACCCTCAAAAGCGGACTCATTTTCCCCCAAGACACAGGCCTAATCTTACTTATCCCTCTCCATTGGCCAGTGCAAACCAAGCAATCCGGCTCCCTTTTCCCACGAGCTCCTCCGAACCCCTCCCTGGATGGGGTCCCTCTGCATCATAGACAATGAGGGGTGCGGGGTGTGAAGACTGAAGAGGAGAAGAAATCTGGTGGCACAATTGAGTGACTAACCCATTCTGGGAAGGAGCGTGGCGTGGGAGTGGGGGTGTGCTGTTGGGGAACAGAGCTCAGGGTGTTTGTTTAATGCAAAAGATTTAACTGATCCACAGAACTGGATGGCTCTGACTTTCACCTTCCTTCTCCCTCCCTCTGTCTCTCTTGCCCTGCATGTTCCTAGCCCTCTCTCCTCTGACTTCTCCGGTGTCGGATCTGCTCCCACAGGCCACTGATTCAGGCTTCTTTCCCCCACAAACCAATCGATGAACAGGAAGGGCCTGCAGCGAGCTCCAGTTCTCAGCAGCGGACAGTGCTAGTCCTGGGAGAAGGAGCACACGGAAGTCCAAGCTTCCAGGCCCCCGCCCCGCTGCAAACTGGGCCAGCCCCAGCTGTTCAGCATATTCCAACAGCTCTGCTTTCTTCCCAGTGTTTAGGTCAATTGCTGAGATCAGTTTAACCCCTTTTATGTGGAGCCGCAGCGTTGGATGGGGCTTGAAAGGGGACCTGAGACAGGGAACTAGAGACACATGCGTGCTGCATCCCAAGCATGCTCAGAAGCTTCCCTAGATAAGGTTCTGAACCCCACACCTACCCTCTTGCAGAGGGAGCAAAAATATGTGGGGAGGGGAAGTGATTTGCTCATGGTCACACAGTGAGTCAGTGGCAGAGCCAGGAATGGAGTTCAGTTCCCTGCTCTGACCCTTAGATTACCCTCCCAGAGTCAGGTACAGACCCCGTCTCCCCTGGGCTTCAGCTGCGAGTTCATGCTTCCTTTAGCGAACATTTAGCCACCCCAGTCCACTCACTGGGCCAGATTCTGACCACATTCTGCCCGTATAAATCCCGAATGACGTGGGGCTACTCCAGATTTATATTGGTATAAACTGAAAGCAGAATTTGGCTCATTAAGGTGAAGATTTAGTCACGGGTATTTTTAGTAAAAGTCATGGACAGGTCACGGGCGAGCAACAAAAATTCATAGCCCATGACCAGTCCATGACTTTTACTATAAATACCCCGACTAAAACTTAGCAGCGCCTGAGACCCCGGGGTGCCGCGGCTCTGGGGGACTCCAGGACATGCTGCCCTGGGGGACCCTGGGGACTGACAGCTAGCCTCAGTTCTGGCAGTGGAGGCTGACTGCCCCCAGCCACCCTCTGCTCAGAGGCCCCAGGGACCGCTGCTCTGATGGCCTTCCAGGTGGCCGTGACGTCTGTGACAGACTCTCAGCCTTACCCATCATGTCTGAAAAGTACTCACCCCTGTCTGCTTTGGCAGCTGAGGCATTATGGGATAGCTGCCTGGTTTGTCCCAGAATGCACTGGTTGTAGGCATGGCTATGCAGTAGGGAAGGTGTGGTTGTGTCAGAAAAATAGGACTCTGGGTGGTGTTAGCAGCATACAACATGGTTGAACTGCATAATGGCTTATTAACAGTATCAGATGCTCTTAACTATGGTGCTTTGCTCTCACACGCACAAAGTTAAACTGACCAACAGCAGAGCTGGGCTTGCCTCCCCTTCCTGGGCTGTCAGCAGGGAGTGGGGGAGTTGTTCCCCCTGCCGCACAGAGTGAGGATCATCAATCAGGGTGAAGCAGGCTGAGTCTTAGGATTAGGACCCTGTGGAGTGGTCCAACGATCTGTCCGTGGGGAGAGTTCATTGGGTTGCATGGAACAGTGAGGTAGGCTAGGGAGAGGTCTGGGGCTGGGTGGATCAGGGCTCTGGAGACTCCATCTGCCCCTGCGGCTGATTCCGGGAATTGGGGAGACATGGGTATTTCTGACTGCAGACACCCTTGGACAGACATGATCCTGCACAGACAGCAGCGCCCTTGAGAGAGCGGGATTCCCGTCATCGAGGCATAGGGGTCCTCCTTGCTCCCAGCACTCACAGGGGGCCACCCCAAGAGCTGAGCTTTCCTTGACTCTGCTGCACTCCTTTTGAATACATGATTTTAGCTACTATCATAGCAAACTGCATTGTTCTTGCTCTGGAGCAGCACCTGCCTGATGAAGACAAGACCCCGATGTCAGAACGACTGGTGAGTGTGGGCCTCTCTTTCTTTCTTATCTGGATTTATCTAAGTTCTCCAATACTTAGTGTGATGTGTTCCCCCGGGATGCTACCTGAAACTGGAGTACCACCAAGCCCCCTGGCCTACCAGCCTGGGCTCCCTCTCACACTGCAGTGCTGTGACAAGCTGCAAAGCCGTCCAGCCTGCACTTTCACCAACATACATACAGGTGAGGACACACCCAGCTGCAATTACATGCAGGCTCTCTGACCACCCCCTGCATAGGAAGGATACAGCTAAGGCAACTCCCAGCTCCCCAGGTGCGCACCCACTCTGGAGTATATAACCCAAAATTATGCCATCTTGTGCTGCACAGGGAACTGTACAGCCTAAGTTCATAAAATTCGCCCCCTCTCTCAATGTGGAGAGGAATATTCAACAACCTTTGCCCCGATCTATGATTCCCATACACTTCACTCCAACTCACTAGTTTAGATAAAGCAAAAACTAGTTTATTAACTACAAAAGATAGATTTTAAGTGATTATAAGGGATATCAAACAGATGTAAGCAGATTACCTAGCAAATAAACAAAAACGCAAACTAAACTTAATATACTAGATAGATTGGATATGAATAGCAGATTCCCACCCTAAGAGATGATAGAAGCAGGTTGCAGATTCTTAAGGGGCCGGCTGCACTTGCTTTACAGCTTGGAATCCCCAGGTGTTTCATTCACATGCTAGAAATCCCTTTAGCCTGGGTCCAGCTCTTCCCCCAGTTCAGTCTTTGTTCCTCGGCTGTTTCCAGGAGTTTTCCTGTGTAGGGAGTGAAGGCCACCTGATGATGTCACTCCCTGCCTTACATAGCTTTTGCATATGGCAGGAGCCCTTTGTTTCAAAGCTTAGTTTCCAAACCAGTGTGTGGAAAAATACTGACATCCCAAGATGGAGTCCAGCGTTATGTAGTCTGATCACATGTCCTTGTAGAGTTATAGCAACCATTACTCACAGGCTGTTTGGAGTGTTCTCAGGAAGGCTCATCACCAGGTGGGACATAAGCTTCTCCTAAGGCAAGGGTTCTCAAACTGGGGGTCAGGACCCCTCAGGGGGTCACGAGCTTATTACATGGGGGGTTGTGAGCTGTCAGCCCCCACCCCAAGCCCTGCTTTGCCTCCAGCATTTATAATGGTGTTAAATATATTAAAAAGTGTTTTTAATTTATAAGGGGGGTCGCACTCAGAGGCTGGCTATGTGAAAGGGGTCACCAGTACAAATGTTTGAGAACCACTGTCCGAAGGCCTATCGTTTTGCCTAATGGCCCATTGCCCTGAATAGGCCCTTCCCCACCCACTATCTAGGCTGAAAGCATCTTCTCTAGTGGGCGTTACCCAGATGTAACTACATTGGAAATACAGATACACAGTCAATATTCATAACTTCAGATACAAAAAAGATATATGCATATAAATAAGATAGTCATATTCAGAAAATCATAAATTTTCCAATGAAACCTCCCATGACCTATCTTGCGTAAAATGCATCATAATTATGTCATAATCATATCCCAACATCACTGTGAAGACTATGGGGTGCAGTGCCATGCTTAGGTCTTATGTATGTTGGGAAATTGACCAGAATAACTCCCCATCTGGACGCTTTTATTCCGGAGTATATTTGTCCACACATGGAGTTATTCCTGAATATCTATTGCATTTTAAATTCACACCCTATGTTATTCTGGGATAATTTCCTCATGCAGCTGAGCCCTTGGACCACTGCACCAGAGTGGGCTGCCTTTACATCCCCCTTTCTAGCTGTTCTCTTCATGTCCTGCTTTCTGCCTTTACGCTGGGAGCTGGGACAGTGGCACATGCCTCCCACACAACTGCTTCAGTTCCCTTGTCCCACCGGACCCTGGCTGTGTTATCTCTGCAGCAGCTTGTCCTAGATTCCTCCCTACTCAGGCCATGAAAATCTGAGCCAGCCTGGAATGCCTGGAAAGTGACAACAGTTTCCATTCCACTGGATTTGGGGCTTCTAGGAATCTTGGGGGTGGATTTTTGGTAATCTGTCTGTCTGTCTGTCTATCTCCATTCACCTCTTTCTCTCTCTTTGTACCCCAGACCATGTAGAGCTGAAACAAAACTGTTTTCTTGGAATTATTTTCACGTCCATTCTGACATTCACGCTACCCCCTCTCGGGCAGAACCTCTTCTCTGTGGGAAGAGAGTGTAGTCTAGTAGTCAGAGCACAGAGAACCAGGGACTTCTGGGCTCTGTTCCTGCTCTGGGAAGAAAATGTGATCTAGTGGTTAGAGCCAGGTTCTGAGAGCCAGGACCCCTCTGTTTCCTCCCTGCCGCTTCACCATGGTGTGGCCTGAGGCAAGTTCCTTCCCTTCTCTGTGCTTCAGTTTCCCCACATCTCACAGTGGCTTGTGAGGTTTCATGAATGGCCCTCAAGTGCTTTGAGACCCTCTAGAAGCCCCATGGATTGTTACTGTTTTCATTATATTCACTGTCTGCATTTCCCTGCCCCTTCTCTCCCCCAGGATGACACAGAACCATATTTCATCGGAATCTTTTGTTTCGAGGCTGGAATTAAAATCATCGCCTTAGGGTTTGCTTTCCACAAAGGCTCCTATCTGAGGAATGGATGGAATGTGATGGACTTCGTGGTGGTTCTCACAGGGTGAGTAGCTGTTTTTTACCCTCTCCATCTGTGTGTTGGTCACTTGCAGACCAGGGTACAAACTTTCTTGAACTGGGGGGAGGTAGCTTGGGCTAGTGGTTGTCTGGTGGCTAAAGCAGTCCGACCAGGAGTCAGGACATCTGGGTTCGATTCTCAGATTAGAAGGAAGTGATTAGAGTGGCCAACAGGCAGTTGGGACTCCTGGGTTCTGTTCTCATCTCTGCCTCTGTCCATATGGCCTTGGGCAGATCTGTGCGTCTCACTTTCCCCAAGCGGTTGTGAGGGTTAATGTGTGGATGGTGTTTTAGAAGCGGGAGAGTGGGACAGAAGGGCTCAGTGGCTTTATTAAAGCCTGGGGCTTTGTGCGATGGGCGGAGCCGGCCTGGCTGCCACGCTGCAGATTCACGCTAGTCAGGTCCCCAGTGCTTCGTATCCCTGCTGCTTTGCAACCTGCTTTGGGAGTTCTAGGGCTGTGGAACAATAGCCTCTCTCTGCTGGTGCTGAGACGTTGTTACTGCTGGGGTGGCTGGAGCTAGAGACCTTCCATTCATCGGAGATCCCTGGTCCCTAATGAGTGCTGGGACCCCCTTTCAGCAGGCCTCGTTTGCCAAGAGAACCCCACTGAGAGTTTGCAGAAGTTATCTGCAGTTTAACTTCCCCATAGCTTCCTGCTTCTGTCCCTCTGTCACTGCTCCTCCGCGGGGGCTGTGGAATTGAAGGCTGATGTGTGTTGGAGTTGTTTCTTCATCTTTGAGCCTGTCGCACTTGTTCACTTAGTATTTCTCTGGGTTTATCTACTGGGCAGGTCTTGTGTTTGGATAACTCCTGGAGAAATAACGTTGTGTTTCCATTGTGTTGGCTTGTGTCATTTTCACTCTCGAGTTCTGCATGATGGTCGCCTGCTGGGAATTTTTTCTTCTCTCCATTCTTGAATATATAAAGTTTCGTGGAGGAGCGGAATATGACAATGTTGCCTACTAGTCAGAGCAGCAGCCTGGGAAGCCACGACTCTTGGGTTCTGTTAGAATCAGGACTCCTGGGCACTGGGAGGATAGATCTAGTAGTTAAATCAGGATGAGGGCTGGGAGTCAAGACTCCTGGGTCCTGTCTTGCCATTGACTTGCTGTAGGAACTGGGGGCATGTTGCTCCTCCGTCTGTGCTTCCCCTTTCTCTTATCTACTTTGTGTCATGGGAGGAAATGTTGATCAAGCACTTGCAGACACTTGACAGTTGTGATCTGTCTGCTGTTCCTGGTGTGGTTTTCTTCTACACGTTTCAGCTGGTGTTGCTCCAGTACGGATGTGCGTGGGGTTGCTCTTTGCACAGGTTTGATTGTGTGCCCGGTGCGTCTCTTGTGATGGTCACCATAATTGCTGCCTCAGCAACGTTTGCAGTAACACTTGGAAAACCTTGCTGCCTCTGGCCTTTTGTTGTTACCGTGTGGGTTTTTGCACGTGGTCTGTTCCTTGGCTGTTTATGTTACTTTGGGGGACACAGCAGTCGCTTTCCAGGCAGCAGGTGTCACTTCCTTTATTACTTTATACCCTGGCTGTTGTCCATGCAATATATTTTTAAGCAATAAGTTGAGGCCACAGAGCGAGGGACCTAACTTGCCCAGGAAGCATGAGGTCCCTTACCGTGGCTCTGCCTGGGGTGTGCTGTTGAGGTACAAAGGGGTTTGTGGAGGGAGATCAGTTAGTAAGAGTTGGATGGCTCAGGGCATCTAGAATGGGCTGTCGCGCCTTCCTGCGAGATTGCCAGTTGAAATCCAGCCCTGGTTTGGAGGGGTGAAAGCTGTTACTCTCTGCTTGATTGCATGACTTGATTTTGAGGGGGCTCTGTCCACAGCCCAGTGGGCAGGTGCTGCTGGCATTGACACTGGCAGCCTCAACAGAAAAGCCATGGAATGAATGAGTCACAGAGATCCCTCTCCCCTGCAAAGGGGGTCCCTCCAGGGCAGGACCCACAAACAGTCAGTGTCCCGGACCTCTCCCTAGCCACAGAATTCACCCAGTGGTCCCACTGCATCCAGCCATTGCATTTGGAATCGCTCCAGGGCTCCTCTTTACCTGGAACACCTGGTGCTTAGTTGCTCCAGCAACAGGGCAAAGAGTTATTACTGGTATGGACCTTATTTGTGCAGCTTTGAGACCCTCTCAAGGGTCCCTTGCTTCTGTGCTGTGCCTGGGGTCATAGGCCTATGCTGTGGACGTGTTATCATCCTTTCGCCATCCCACTGCAATTGTTCATACTGCGTGTCTCCCTGGGGACACATCCCGGTTGTGATGTTTGGGTCATTCCCCTCCCCTGGCATGCTGTGGGATTTTGTCCCTCACAAAGCAGCGAGAGGTAAGAGAGGACACAGAGGGCCAGTTCTTCACCTAGTGTAAACCAGCAGGTCTCCATTGAAGTAAGTGGTGTGATCATAGTTTACATCAGCTGGGGATCTGGCCCCAGATCTGGTCAAAAAGTTGTCCCTAGGAGCCAGCACTGGCCTGCAGACCCTGTCTACACTAGGCATTGCAACAAGATGTTGCTTGAAATGCTTTGATCTTCCAATGCCTTGCGTCCACACACAACACCTGGACCAGATGTTGTATGGTTGCAGTGGTTGGGGGCAACGTGTGGGGTGGGGGCTGTTCCACTTAGGCCCTGTTGATATGTTTTCAGCAATGTTTCTTCTCAGCGTGGACAGGAAGCCTCAAGTTCTGCGGCTGCTACAGGTCATACAGTCTTCCACAGCGCAGTGTGGAACTAACCCCAAGGCCTTGAATCCGCTGGGCACAGAGGTGTTTCAGGAGCTGCGGAGGGCAGTGGCATGACCATGGTGCTGGGCACGGGGGGCACTGCAGCTAGACACGTTCTTCTGTCCTAAGCAGTGTTGCTGGGCGAGGGCTGAACAAGGTCGAGGGCTGGGTGTGGAAACTGGGCTGGGGAAAAAGGCAACCACGTCTGAAGAAACTCACTACTCACTGACAGGCGGGGAGACGCGTCAGATAAACGACTGGCTCCGTCTGAGTCACCCAGCTCTGGGACAAATGCTCCTAGAACTGGGAGATCAGTCACCCGCTGCAGCACGGAGAGGAAGGGCTACCCAAGCCCTCTGGCTGGGCGGTGCTGGACAGCTGGGGCAGGGAGAGAGGGGAAGCTAAGGGCAGTCATCACCCCTCATAATGGGAGATTAGTTTGCGCAGCCAACAAGATGACCAAGGCTGCGCAGTCCCAACCAGAGGCACTTCCAGTTCAGTGGGAACGTACCATCTGCCCCTCCTTATCTCTCCTGGGCTTCCACTCGTCCCCTCTCCTTGCTCCCCTCTTCCACTCGTCCCTGGCCTGTCGTTCCAGTGCCGGCCCTCGGGCAGTCGTTCACGCCCTGCTGGCCTGGTCAGCCGTGGTTCACAGCTGTGTGCAAATGGCTGCACAGTGTGCTCAGCAACACAGAATCAGGGCCTTTGTCTGTCTCACTTCCGTCCTCCCCCAGCCCCTGCACTCTCATGCTTTTCCTTGAGCTCCTCTGCACAGAGGCTGATCACTTATTAAACCAGCGGCTGTTTGAGAGCATCTGCATTGAAATGGGAGTGAGTCCCAAGCTGCTGCCCCTGCTTCCGTTTCCACCATCGCTTCTAGTCTAAACACTGGGGGCAGTGTCTGGGCTGAGGAGATCGGACACAGGGTCTTGTCTCTGTCCAGGCGTCATTAATGACCACATGGGAGCAGGGTCGTTATGTGTCATCTGAAAGACAGCACGGCCAGTCACACAGTGCCCCCTTCTGCCCTGCTGGGGTGTTGAAGTCAGCACTGGCTCCAAGGGAGAGCGCCCCCTACTGAGTCACCCATCCCACTCCCTGGGTTTCTCCATGGGGCATTCACTTTGCCCCTAGTGTTCCTTTGAAGGGGGTGCTTGGAAAGTGAGCTGGGCTCTGGGCAGAATAATAGAGCCACCAGCCACATGCAGACCCTGCTTGAGAGGAACTGCACCCTCCAGGGGTGGGGCACTCGCTGATTATAACAAGCTGCAGCAAGCAGCCTCCTCTGCCTCTGCTTCCCTGGTCACTCGTGGAATGATGGCTGCACACTAGCTCCTGCAGGATGGGAAGACCGATTTCTGGGGTCCCCTTGGGCACGAGGCTCTGGGAAGAGGGGCTGCTCTGGCCCTCCCATTTCCCAGCCTTCCTCGGAGCTGCAGTGAGGGATCCCAGCCCATCTCCCGAGAGAGGCTCCAATTAGTGCTTCTGCAGTTTTGCTATGCTAATGGCTTCTTCCTCACCAGCGTGTGTGTGTGTGTGTGTGTGTGTGTGTAGGGGGGGAGCTGCAGAGGAGACTGGCAGGCAGGCTGAGGAAATCTCAACAGAAGAGAGATAGCTGCTGAGAGAAGCTAGCCTCTGGCTGACGGTCCTGGAGGCTGGAGATGCTGTCCTCAGCCCCAGGGAGTCAGAGACCATGGGCTGTGGAGGGCTTGGGGTGGCAGAAGAAGGGAGCACATGGGATGGCTCCCAAATCCGAGCTTTCCTTGAGACTGGGGATCAGAGTGCTGGGGAAGAGCCAACCCTCCAACCCCCTCTTGGTGTGTCTCATGCTCCTTTGTGTGGCTTCAGCTATAAAAGCCCAAACCCGCGAAGGAGTGTGAGAGCGCAGCAACTCATCCAAGTAAAACGTGGGTCCCAGAGCCAGGGGCACAGACTCGGGAGTCCGTCTGTGCATGGGGCCAGCACGGTCAGGCTGCAGTGGGCCAACTGGGGGCACAATTCCCAGTGCCAAGGGTTCCCCACGGCACACTCCCTGCCCCCCCATCCATCCCCAATGGAGCGACTCTAGGGACTGATGGCAAGAGGTAATCTCAGGTATCGTGACTGAATCACGGGACCCCTATCTAGGCCTGGTGTGAAATGTGAGGAGCTGCCATGATTTGCTGTTCTCTGTGTGTGTGTGTGTGTGTGTGTGTGCAGATGTATCTGTGCATTATGTGTGGGAGTGTACACATGTACATGTATGTTAATGA